AAAAAGGCACACAGGTCACACCTCCCTCGACAGATTCCCGTGCCTCCCTTGGGAGGCCTGCCCCATAGTTGGAGAACTACTGTACTAAAGGAACATCAGTCTAACTTGTACCTTGACCACATGCTCCCCAAGTCAAACCATGATTCTACTATCTTGCCATTGTAGTTCAGGAGTAAATCCACTGACATCAGTAAGTTACACATGGATGTTAGAGGGGAATCAGAGCCATTGAATGCGAAGTCATAGTTGGAACTGGTTTGAAAGTTTTAACAAATAGGCACTTTACAAAATATTACCAAGTGACTTACATGCCTAAACCCCATCTTCAAAAGTGACTTAAGAAATGTTGACAATGGGACTGTGAGGTGCTTTTGGAAGTTTTACCCCAAAACTAAACATTTTAAAAACATGCTGCATTCTCACCTTCCCTGCACTAGCACTTTTGTGCTCAAGGCATATGGTACAAAGACTTTATTTTGATGAGATTTGTCTGTTAAGAGAAGCTTTGCTTCATTTATAGGATATCTGAATGACAGCCAACCTGAAATGGTAAATTATAGAACACCACTGGTTTTTAAATGTACTGTAGCAAAGCTTTTATGTGCTCAGATACTACATTGATAGGGAAGCTATACATATCTAGCTATATCAGTCAGACCTTTGAAAGGGTAAGCAAAGCACCACTTACTGACCCCTCCTGCTTTGTAGGAAACAGTATTGCGTACATGTGGAGACAGCTAGAAACTTGCTAATCCTGTTATAATACCTGCACCCTGTTACTATTGACCTGTCCTCCAGTGTGCTATATATGTCTTAATTAGACTTCACACTCCACAGGCACAATAGGTCTGATTCTAGTTTCATTTACATCAGTTTCACATTGGTGCAACTGCATTGACTTCATGTTATTCCTGGTTTAGACCAGTGAGAAATCAGACGTGGGTCTGCTGTATTCTCTGGGTGAGATCCTGGCTCCACTGAAGTTAATGACAAAATGCCCACTGACTTCAGTGGTGCCAGGATTTCACCCCATGTGTTTAAATGCCACATGCACATATGGGACTATATACATAAAGTTCTGCAGGACTTCGCTAGTTTCACTTTTTGTTGGAATGAGAAAACCACACTCTGAGACAAATGACATCTTCCTATATATTGGACCAATTTCGGTACTTTTACAATTCTGAACTGGTGTCAATCCAGAGGAATTCCACGTAAATCAATACTCTGATTACACTGCTGTAACTGAAAGGAGTCATGCATCAGTTCAAAATACAGGGCCAGATTCATTGGTATATTCTGCTACTTTGTGCTACTCTGGTGATGCAAAGCAGCCACAAATCCAGTTTACCAGGCTGGCGTTAGCCAAGTTTGTCTTTGTTTTGTGACACCAGAGCATCACAGAGCTGCTGGAGCATATTGGTGAATTTGTCCGACAGTCCATTAAATCATGGAAACAAAGGACCAGATCCTCAGCTGGCGTAAATTGGTGCATCTCCAAGTAAGTCAAAAGAATAATGCCAGTTTGCACCAACTAAGGACCTAGCCATTAAAACTTTAAACTCCAAAAGTGCATTGCACTAGGACACCACAATGTATATTGGATGCACTTCAGCTAGACAAATAAACAAGGCTTTATTGCTTTATAGATTCAGCTGAACTGTGTTTGAAATGTAGAAAGACTCTGAGTGCTAAATTCTTAGCCCATTTTAACAGGGAGATTAGCTTTTATTTTTCTTTTGAATAAATCACCGGACTTTATTTGGAAATGACTGCTGTTAACAGCATAGCCAATCCTTTTGGGTGCACTAAAGACTTTTCACTTTAAACTAGATAAGCTTAATTGGATAGTTTAAAAATCTTGGCTGGAAAAAGAGGTTGTGAGGGGGCAGGGGGTGGAAAGCCTTTCAGATTGCAAAGCACATTGATGACAACTCCGTGCCTTTGTTTCCATTGCTCAGACACTAACACTGCCATGAAGAGGCTGTGCACCGGCGACTTGCATACAGATGCCCTACTTTCTCTTAGCTGGATGTCTCTATCCAGCACTGTTGCAATGTTATGTTATGCACCTTGCTTTAGGTGCAGTGATGCACCCAAAAGGTGATTTAGGATTTTTTTTGGTGAACTAGATTTCCCTCTTGCCACAAGTCGATTAGCATGTAATGTATCAGATCTCTTAGCATAAAAACACTCTTCCAGCCCTCCCTCCCTGCCAGCCAGTCCTTACCTGCCATGAGGAGAAAAAGGATGCTGGGCTGAGTAACTGAGGGTTAGTGGGGTGTCTGCCTCCCATCAATTCGTCGGTGCAGACATCGCAGCCTTCGGCATCTCGCCAGTCCCAGTAAGGGATGGTGAAGTTCTCATCTCCTGTGATCTTCTGGATCTCATGTTCCCACAGCAGCAAGAACAGTCGATGCCAAGGTAGAAAACCTGGGGCTTCATGGGCAAAATCAATATCCCTCCATACGCTTGACCCACCTAGCAAGGTGTCATGAGAGACGTAGTAATGCATCCAGACAAAGAGGTCGTAAATGTTGATGTTCCTGAACATGGGGGTCGAGCCATTGTTCATCTGAGCATAGGTGCCACTGGCAATGACGTAATCCTGGCTGGGGGTGTGCTTTGCCAAGTTGAGGTAGGCAAGGAACTTATTCTTCTCTCTGCTACTAAGCTGGAAGATGCTTCTTCTCATGAGCATCCTCCTATTGGCACAGTTGGGCCCTGAGAAGCCAAACCTGCACTCCCCGCAGTTGAATCCCATAAAGTTGCTGTTGCATTGGCATGTCCTGTTATAAAACACAGCAGGCCAGTCCTCTCTGTCGTCCACCCCTGTGAAGGGGAACTGCGGCCCGAGTGGGGCACGGGACAGAAGGATCTCCTGGCAGGAGCCCCTGCCAGAGAGTTCCCCACAAGGGGACCCATCCCCAGCCCACAGTGGGCAACATTCCTTCCTCAGCAGGCTCTCTGAAGATGCACAGGCTCGGGGAAACTGCCCGGATGAAGGCTGTAGAATCCCCAGCAGGATACCCAGGGCCAAGAGACACATCCTCACACAACAGCAGGCAACCTTCAGTGCTGTGGCTCAGTGCATGAATAGATCTAACCCCTGCCACAGCCCTGCATATGAAAGAAATTTTTCCCCTCCAGTGGGAAAGTTTCACTCCTGACTTTTTTTTTTTTCTCTTAACCGTGCACCCTTCAATCTCCTTCGCCATCTACTACACGTACACACAATTCTCTGTTAATCTGATTATCACATGTTCTGGGTGAAATCCAAGTGACTTATTTTCCCCTGGCCCTTTAGTGTTCAACATACACAGACTTATTATAAGCAGTTATCTTCTGCCTGTCACATGACCCTTTTCCTCTGGCAACTGTAGACCAAGTAAAACTTGGATACAGAAATAGTGACAGCCGTTTTAATTCCTTGTTTGCTTATGTGCATTAGAATAATGATTTGGTTTAAAAAAAATAGACAAAGTCTGTTGAATTAAATAAGCATAGCAAATCTCTGGATTGAAATAAACTTTATTAATTTATTTTTAATCTATCCCCCTCAGTCTGAGACTCATAAAATGACCCTATTAAAATGAGGTCAAAGAGAGTGTGAAAGTAGGATCCAGTGCAGAATTAAGGGTTTGGTTTTGGTGACGTGTTCAGACTGAAAACACTTCTCTTCCTCCTAGCCTGGTTCACTGCAGAATAACTTCACAGCATCCCTTCTCTGACAGAAGGTTCCATTATAAACTTTTAGGGGCAGGTCCTCATCCAGTAGCTATATTGAGATCAGTGCAGCTATGACAGTTAACACCAGCCCAGGACATGCTTCCTCCATTAGTAAAACGTTGTAGTAGGGAAATGACAGGGAGAAAATTGCAGGGGAGAGAGTCAACCTGGAACAGCGCTGCAGCCATCCATCCCCTGATCTGGAAAAGGGACCATGATTTCCCCTGGGAGGGAGTTTGCAGACACTGGCTCTACATGTTGTAACTGATGTTACGTTGGCTGTGTTCCAGACTATCCACAACCCCTTTCTTCTTCTCCGCTGGCCTAAGCAGAGCCTAGCTGTGCTGCACGCAGGGTGTGGGAGTGCACCTCTATGCCTGCTTTGCAGCAGCACTGCAGTCATTCCGCTGTGTGTGGATGGGGGGAGCCTTCCACTGCCCCTAAGTTGCTGGGTGAATTGCACATTTAGAAATTTCCCTCCGTCTTGTCTTTTGTGAAACTGGGGTTTCTGTTATTGAGGGACATTTTTTTAAAAGCAGGGGGATGGGATTACCATTGACTGAGGATTGCTGAGAGTTTCCGTGTGGCTGAAGCATCAGCCAGGCAAGGGGAGGGAGAGCTTGGCTGGGAAATGTTGCCTTTTGCTGGAATCAGCAGGTCATCACATGATCCTGCTGAGGAGCACGAGGTGCCTTAATCCTGTTGCCGTCTATGCTCCAGCAATGCAGACAGATTATCACAGGGTCTCCTTGGACTCGGGGCCTGCGGCTTGGGGTTGCTTTTTTAATTGCTTCTAACCCCATTGACGTTTATCGTGCTCTCTCCGTTATTCATCTCTTTCCTTTCTCGTGCTAGGCTTGTTGTACATTGCATGACAGAACTCCCACCCATTTAGTTTTCGGTGTCCGGATGCTTAGGAAACACGTGCAATTCCATGTCTTTAACTAGCTCTGCTAGGTTCGCTGGTGTAGAGCCAGATAATTGAGAAGAGACACAGAAAGCCAGGCAGGAGCGGGGCTGGGGAAGGCTCTGGCTGGACGTTTCACATTGAAGCGCAGAGAGGTGCGCACACACACACGTGTGTGTGTGTACACATGCTTACTTTAGGGATAATGCTATTTTTCATATTCTAATGGAGTTCCTTGTTCAGTGGTCAGAAAAAAGGTGAATCTGAGGCTTTACCACTGTCCCCTGACACCACGTTTCTGAAACAGCTGATTTGCAGGAGACTCCGTGGCGCAGAGTTTAGGCCCCAATGGGACAAGTTATAAACTTGTCTCTCTCCCCAACAGAAGCTGATCCAATAAAATATATTACCTCGCCTACCTTATCTCACATTGAATCAATGGCAGGATCAGGACTAGAAGGCGGATTTCTGGTCCCATGCTGTAACCTCTAAGCCGTGCCACCCCTATAGCTGTCATATGTTGCTCTCTGAATTAATGATGTGAGCCATACTGTTAAAAATCAAATTGCACAATCAAAATACAGAACTATAGAGATTGCACAAGAAGTCACAGTAATGTTCAGAAATAGCTCTTGATTCCCACTGATTTTTCAAATCTGTCCAGTGTGCTTTCAGCCCATTCTACTTCCTTTAAGGGAGAAAATGAAAATATATTTCTCATTCGGAAAAGGTCAGTGAAAATAATTTCAGCTCCAAACTGCTGACGTTGCAGTAGTTCTTTTCTCGGTTTCACGTTTCTAGTAAAATTACTATATGTTCTTAAAGCCTTTTAATCTGTGTGTCACTGTGCTGATGCGATCTCTTAAAATCATCTTTTAAAAAGGTTTTTAGGCAATTCTGTGCCTTAAAGTTTTAATTGTCTCCTTGGGAGCTAAATAAATCAATCTGGGATAGTGAAAGGGGGCTGGGAATCACTCTTGCAGTTGCAAAGGGTTTTATCACTGATAATATTTCAGCATAATGTTGGATAAAGGGATGTCAGAAGAACTCAAATGGCTTAGAGAAAGTTAGTGCAGACCAAGTACAGTAGAAAGAAGAATCACATGGGAAAAGAGTTGAAGATGTGGCATAAGTAAAAGGAATTCTTAGGCAATGTCTACACTACACAGCTTTTAGCAACATGGCTGTGTCACCACAGCTGTGCTGCTAAAAGTTGCACAGTGTAGTCGCTGTTTGTCGGCGCTCCTGCCAACAAAAAACTTCCACCCACAACGAGCGGCATCCACGTTGTCGCAGGAGAGCGCTCCTGCTGACAATGTGCTGTTCACACTGGCACTTGTTGCAGCAAAACTTTTGTCTTTCGGGGGAAGGGGTTAACACCTCTGAAAGACACAAGTTTTGTCGTTCAGTTGCCAGTGTAGACATAGCCTTAGGAAGGAGCAAAAGGAAGAGGGAAAGAGTGGGAAGGACAGCATGAGATAACATAAATAGGTCCAAATTGTGCTGTCTGTTGCACAGGTGCTACTCCCTATTGGCTAGATTCTGTACCCTTACTCAGTTTTGGAGGACTCATAGATGGTCCCTTCTGGCTTTATAGTCTGACCCCCTGTACATTGCAGGCCACGGAACCTTGCCCACCCACTCCTGTAATAGACCTATAATCTCTGGCTGAGTTACTGAAGTCCTCAAATTATGATTTAAAGACTTCAAGTTAGAGACTCCACCATTCATACTAATTTAAACATGCAAGTGACCTGTGCCAAGGAAACTGCAGAGGAAATGAAAAAAAACCCAGGGTCTCTGCCAGTTTGACTCAAGGGAAAATTCTTTCCCAACTCCAAATATGGCAATCAGTTAGACGCTGAGCATGTGGGCAAGACCCACCAGCCAGACACCTGGGCAAGATTTCTCTGTAGTAACTCAAAGTCCTCCCCATCTAGCGTCCCATTACTGGCCAGTGGAGATACTGGCTGCTAGCAGTCGCAGATCAGCTATATGCCATTGTAGGCAATCTCATCATATCATCCCCTCCATAAATTTATCAAGCTCAGTCTTGAAGCCAGTTAGGTTTATTGCTCTCACGGCTCCTCTTGGTAGGCTGCTCCAGAACTTCATTCTTCTGATGGTTAGAAACCTTTGTCTAATTTCAAGTCTAAATTTCTTGATGGCCAGGTTATATCCATTTGTTCTTGTGTCCACATTGGTACTTAACTTAAATAACTCCTCTCCCTTCCTGGTATTTATCCCTCTGATGTGTTTATAGAGAGAGCAATCATATCTCCCCTCAGTCTTCTTTTGGTTATACTAAAAAAGTCAAGCTCTTTGAGTCTCCTCTCATAAGGTAGGTTTTCCATTCCTCTGATCATTCTAGTAGCCATTCTCTGCACCTGTTCCAGTTTGAGTTCATCTTTCTTAAATGTGGGAGACCAGCAACTGCACACAGTATTCCAGATGAGGTCTTACCAGTGCCTTGTATAATGGTACTAACACTTCCCTATCTCTACTGCAAATCCCTTGCCTGATGCATTCTAAGACTGCATTGGCCTTTTTCACAGCTGGATCACATTGGTGGCTCACAGTCATCCTGTGATCAACCAATACACCCAGATCTTACTCCTCCTCTGTCACTTCCAACTGATCAGTCCCCAGCTTATAGCAAAAATTCTTCTTGTTAGTCCCTAAGTGCAGGAGCTTTTGAAATGTTGTTGTCACGTGCTGAGTACGGGTGACAGAAAGGGAACAAGATCTGCGTGATCGAGAGTGCAGTTTGAGCCATAGGATGGAAAAGAGAGACAAACTGGGGTGATAACATAAGTACAAAAGTTTGAATCCAGATTCTATTTCATCCAGAACTCCAGTAGGTGGGTGGGTGAAGAATGGAAGGTTACATAAGATTAGATAAAATGTTGATTCTATTTTTTCAAAATAAGAGGTCCAAGCCATTACTGAGTGGCATATAGGTAGCCCAGTATGTTTACATTACACACAATTAGGACTAAAGTATTTCATTTCTACTTAAAATGTAATCTTAAGGTAATAAAAGAAATCAAATCTCTGGCTGTTCAGTAAGAGGACTTCACCAATTTCATTATACCAAGCAGGACTCTCTACTAAGAAGCAGATAATAAATTACCATGATCCATCTTTTTAGCCTAAAACAAATACCTACAGACTTATAGGAATGATATTTAGGAGATGAGGCTTAAACACACTGGTTTAAATATATGAAAGGAGCATGCTCCTAGCAGAGAAATTATTCTGAATGTTATAAGTAATCAAGTTTTACCTCCAGACCAGCATACTAATGTCCTGCAAGCACAGCTGATGACCTGATTTGAGTACACATCAATCATGACTGGAGAGATGGGTCCCTGCTCTAAAATTCAAGGCAGACAGAATTCTATTAAAACCTGGGTAGTGCAGTCATTCAAATAAATTGTCCCAAATAGGAAGAGAAGACTCCAAAATTTGGTTGGTTTCCAAGGAGGAACAAGCCATCA